AATTTAAGCTACTGTATCCTATCCTATCCTATCCTAAATATGAACCTCGCCTGGTTAACTAGTTTACTAGTTACTAGCCGGTCCTAAGCCCGGGTAAAGAGGGAAGGTTGGGCATAGGGCTAGCAACCCTACCCCGTAAAACAAATCTAACCGCTAAAGAAACTTCAAAGCACAAACAAAATAGAAAACATGAAAACAAAATTATTCCTCGCTGGAATCGGAGAGGCGAAATGACGCCAGTTGGTGAAAGCTTTCGGGAAGCCAATTGGCCGATGTGTCTTCTCCCTCTCGATGAAAGCGAAAGTAAACGTGGGGACATGGAATGTCCGTACGATGTTTGAACCCAGTAAGGCAGCCCAGATTGCAAATGAGATGAGAAGGTATCACATCGAAGTGCTTGGGATTTGCGAAAGCAGATGGAATGGGAGTGGACTCTCCAAACTGTCAATTGGAAAGTCAATAATCTACTCCGATATTGTCACCCAGACGACAACCACGAGCACACTGAGTTATGGAGTGGCTATCATGATGTCCTCAAGAGCATCGAAGGCTCTCATACAGTGGGAACCAATCTCCTCCAGGATCATGACAGCAAGATTCAACTCAAAAGGAAGGAAGGTCACAATCATACAATGCTACGCACCACCTACAAATAATGCAGAGCAAGAGAAAAAGGAGGATTTCTACAGACAACTTCAATCAACACTGGACAAGACGTCAGTTGGCGATATCAAAATTCTGATGGGCGACATGAATGCCAAACTGGGAGGGGACAACACAGGAAGAGAACTAACCATGGGTCGAGAGGCGCTAGGTGAAATGAATGAGAATGGAGGATTGTTTGCAGAATTCTGTGCATTCAACGATTTGATGATTGGAGGCAGTGTGTTCAGGCGCAAAGATATCCACAAAGCGACATGGATTTCACCAGATGGACACACTAAAAATCAAATCGACTTTATCTCAATCTCAAGAAAATGGAGACACAGTCTACTTAACACAAGGTGAAGAAGAGGAGCAGATGTAGGTTCACACCACTCACTGTCTAGAGCAAGGAACCTACCTCCAAAATCAAGTTGAAAGCCTTCAAGGAAGCTGGTGATAGACCTCAATTCAAGTACAACACTCGGAAACTGAAGGATGAAACTACAAAGGAGATCTTCACGGCAGCCAGCCATCAAGACAAAATGGGAGACATCGAGCAACATCCCTGAAGAAACCTGTGTGGAAGAATACTGGAAGTCTTTGAAAGCTATGTGGAAAGAAACCTGCACAGCCGTATTAGGAAGGAAGAAGGTGGAAGACAAGGAATGGATCTCGACGGATACCTGGAAGCTGATAGAGGAGAGGAGGATGGTGAAGCAGAAGATAAACCAGTGCAGTGCAAGGATGCTCAACGACAAGAAGAACTGAGTACAATGTATAAAACACTACACTGGACAAAGAAGTGAAGAAGAGTGCACGCAGCGACAAACGACACTTCTACGACACACTGGCAAGTGAAGCAGAACAGGCTGCAGGTAGGAGAGACAGAGACCTGACAACATTGCATCAAATAACCAGGTTGCTATCAGGGAAGAGACCAACACAGATGAAACCAATAAAAGATGATGAAGGAAATTTAATTACGAAAGAAGAGAAACAAAGGAAACGATGGGCCGACCACTTCAAGAAGCTCTTGAATCGACCACCACCTGCACTTCGTCCAGAAATACCACCTACAGCTGCTGAATTACAAGTGAACATAAATCCCCCAACGAAAATGGAAGTCCTGAACGCCATAAAGCTACTGAAATGTGGGAAAGCAGCAGGACCAGATGGAATACCGCCAGAAGCGCTGAGAACAGATGCAGAGACAACAGTGGACATGCTCACACCACACCATTTTTGCAGAAGGTGTGGAAGGAAGAGAAGGTACCTGGCTAGTGATTGGAAGAAGGGTTACCTTGTCAAACTGCCGAAGAAGGGAGACCTCAGTGTTTGCAAGAACTGGCGTGGAATCACTCTCCTGTCCACCCAGAGCAAGCAAAATATTAAGCCGCATCATCCTGGAGAGGCTAAAGGATGCACTGGATACAAAACTACGATCAGAACAGGATGGCTGCCTTCAGGAAGTACAAATCATGTGCCAACCAAATTGCAACGCTACACTACGCATCATCATAGAACAGAGCATAGAATGGCAATCAGCTCTCTGCCTCAACTTCATCGACTTTGAGAAGGCCTTTGACAGCGTCGACCGAGAAGGAATTTGGAAACTGCTTCAATACTACGGAGTACCGCAAACCTTTATCAGCCTCATTCAACAACTATATGAAGATGCCACATGCCAGCCAAGTAGTTCACAATGGGAAGCTCAGTGATGCTTTTGCACTGGAAGTGAAGACAGGAGTGAAACAAGGTTGCCTACTATCCCCCATGATATTTCTTATTGTGGTGGACTGGATCATGCAGCAAACAGTAGGCAGCGAGAAGAGGGGGATACGCTGGACGACGGAAAAGAACCTAGAAGACTTGGATTTCGCCGATGACTTGTGCCTAATGTCACATAAACTTGAAGATCTGCAGGCAAAAACTAACAAGTTGATAGAAGAGGCAGGGTGGCGAAGACGGGACTTCAGGTGAATATAGAGAAGACAGAAGTGATGAAGATACCGCACCACCACCATGAACAACAACAACAAACTCCAATCACCGTCAACGGGAGAAACTTAAAGGAAGTAACCTCCTTCACTTATCTAGGAAGCACTGTTTCAACTACAGGCGGGACAGAGGAGGACGTCAAAGTCAGAATCGGAAAAGCAAGACAGGCGTTCATTAGCCTGAAACCAGTGTGGAGATCCTCTGCACGCAGCATGCGGAACAAGATACGGATTTTCAACACCAACGTCAAGTCAATGCTCTTGTATGGTTCAGAGACTTGGCGCGTCACGAAAGGGATTTCCAATAAACTACAGACATTCATCAACAACTGCTTACGCTCGCTACTGAAGATCAGATGGCCAGAAAGAATAAGCAACAAGGAGCTCTGGGGACGAACCAACCAAGAACCTATCACGCAAAAAATATGCAGGAGGAAGTGGAGATGGATTGGCCATGCACTGAGAAGGCCGACTGGGGACATCACGCGTCAGGCCCTCGAGTGGAATTCCCATGGGAAGCGACGAGTTGGACGTCCGAGGGTGACATGGAGGAGGTCGTGCGAGGAGGAAATGAGAGGTTGTGGGCTGTCGTGGAGCGAGGTTCAAAAGATCTCAGAGAACAGAGTTCACTGAAGACGTGCTACTGAAGCCCTATGTTCCACTAGGAACCCAAGGGACTAATAATAATAATAATAATAATCCTAAATATGAGAGACGTTATTAAGTGTACTGATCTTGTGCATCCAATCCCTGCCTTCTGAAGTTACCGATGCACTTCACAGGCCAGATAATTTGATAGTCGTCATTGTTTTCAATTTTCCACCCAAATAGCGTTTAGATCGACTGGATCTGTTTTCTCCCTTGTAAACTGGTTATCTCTGAGAACCAATCGCAAAATATCCGAACAATTCTGTTCGGATCAACTTAATGTAAAACAGTTTCTTCCACAGGTAAGTCAACGACGGGTGAACTCCCTTACCCTGGCGTCTGGTATCAAGTGTTTTTGGTGAATGCATTCAGGCAGAAACTAAATCTCCACAGATCAACTTGTAGCTAAAATTAAAGTGGGCCAATAAGCTGTGACTGATCGATCTAGACACTTGATTTCGAACTGATGGGTCACGAGTTTGAATTCGATCCGGCTTATCGAGGTTTTTGCAAAATAGGTGTGGCTCACTGGTTACTGCATAAATGCTCACAGTTGATTACTGACTGGATTTCAATTGGAAATGTGCCATCACCTACCTCGAAGTATCATGCTAGGGGAAGATGGATTAAGTTGGAAGAAGGTTCAGGGTGGCTAGACCAAGACGTGGAGCCAGTTCATAAAGTCCCTAACTGCTGCTCTGAGCCGTGTAGGGAGATTTAGACTACCTAATTATGTGGGGTCTCTGAGACGAAGGGAATCAGCGATTGAGGACTTTTTGTAGAATCTCTGAAAAGTGGTGACTATGCGCAGATGTATTCACCCTTTGGTGTCTTCTAAAGCTTCATTACTTGCACTAACCTTAATTTTCAAATTTCATGGACTCACCTTTGTCTACTTTGATATCAGTCGCTTCTTCTATTCACTTGTTTTTTGCATGCCACTGTGAACTGTGTTACAAACTGAACGGATGCAAAGTTCTACCTTGATTTTGTCTGTGTTTGAAGGTTCACAGGAATTTATTGGTATTCATCACTAAGTGACATCAGTTGGAGAACCATTAAAAACGTGTGAGCACTAGAAAAGTGTTTCGTCCTAATATGGGACTCCTCAGAGGTGTGCACTTGTAATCCCTCCGGGGGTCGATCCCAGGGCCTTCATCTTTCGAGACGAGCACATTATCATTGGAAACTGAACTTACTGCCCTTTAATTGTAAAGAAGCCAAATGAGGTCTGCAACCCTTTTAACCATTACCTGTGCTACTACTTACAGGTTGAAATTTCTTTTCCACTTACTGAATTTTACTCAAAGTTATTATCGCTTATACAAGGGTATGACTTGACGGCTGACAGATTTCCTTATTTGGAAAACTACTGCAAACCTGGTAGGAACGTGACTGCGCACTGCTGTGGAGTCAGTCGCATACTAGTAGGACGAAACAGCTGCTGGCCAGCATGCCGCCAGGTTCTCAGTACTTCTCCAACTGATGTCAGTCAGTCAGTACGTGATGACTACCAACTTGAAATCAATTTATCCCCCACATGCTTTCAAATAGGATTTTGTCTATTTTTGTAGGAAAATTGATAGAAATCTTCTTACATGGAAGCACCTCTACTGATGATTTTCAATTCCTCTTTTATTTAGCTTGCATAATGCAATTTCTGCGTGTCATTCGATGATTGTTCAACCAGTTAATTAGTGCACGGTCAAAATGAATGATATGCAGAAGGCTGTTAAATTGTTTAAAGTAAGAATTTTTGTTTTTTATAAAATAGTTTGTAAAATTTACTCATTTTTCAAGTTGTTATTCATCGTAGACTGACATCAGCTGGAGAGACAAAGGGGATCTGGAGCACTTAACAGCTGTTTCGTCCTAGTATGGGACTCCTCAGCAGTGCGCACCCACGACCCCGCCAGGGACCGAACCCGTGACCTTCAGGTTCCGCGGCTAGCGCGTTACTTTTGAGCCGCTGGGTCAGAACCCAATAGTCCATATTTGCAACTTCCAGTAACGCGCTGACCGCGAGACCTGAAGGTTGCGGGTTCGATCCCTGGCGGGTCGTGGGTATGCACTGCTAAGGAGTCCCATACTAGGACGAAACAGCTGTCAAGTGCTCCCAGATTTCCTTTGTTCCTCCAACTGATGTCAGTCTACGATGAATAACAACTTTAAATATTTCCAAATCTCCACAACTCCCTCAAAATTCAATTACTCATTTTTGTCTACAACTCTATACACGATTTTTTTCTAAACAGCATTCTGTTTTGTCAGCAGGGCCGGACGAACTAGTACCAGAGATATTTAACGATGCGGGTAGATGATTGTTGGTTAAATTAACTAAAGTGTTAACTAGTGTATAGAAGTCAGATATGATCCCCTCTGAATGGTCACAATCACTGATTGTCCCAGTTTACAAGAAGGGAGAGAAATCCTCTTGTGATAACCACAGGGGGAATCCTGACGAACTTAGTGTCCAAGGTTCTAGATTCTGTAATTACTGGGACTCGGTAACAATGGATGCCAGACAACCAGGAAGGCTTCAAACGTGACTATGGGTGTACTAAGCAGATATTCACACTCCGTCAGGTCTGAATCATAGGTGCAGTTGCCGATGCCCGGTACTGGCTTTTTCTCTCGACCTAAAGGCAATATTCAGCTTCGTCTATCGAGAGGTCTTATAGCGGCGTTTCTTACTGGAAGGAGTATGAGTAAGTGCACAACTTCGTTGAATACTCTTTACTCGGACACTTGTGGGCGTGCTAGAGCCTAGAGTGATGAAGTGCGTGTGTAAGTTGGAGATAGGTTGGAAAAAGTGCAGAGTTAGACCGTAACTTCCCATTGCTATACTGGATCGAAGTGACCGACCTCTGTTGGCTCCCAACGCAGATGGATTCCTCAATATTCATTAGATTTTAGTCTAATTAGTGACTAGCAGTGGAATCCAGCACGCTCATTTCGTCCTATTCGTCAGCTGAATTCACCTGTACCCCAGTGAGGAGTGGTGTTGTTTCCACTAAAACTCGACCCCTGTACCCATCGTTTCAAACGCCAAAGAGGTCAAGTGATCCGACCCGGCATAGTGTTAGGGTGACTACAATTATCATTCAGTAACAACAACTGATACTCGTTGCATAAGAGGGTGGATAGTTGGAACAACATCATGCAGTCACGTTTGTCTCCTGGATTGCACTTCTACCCACCGAGTAAAATAAAGTTCAAGACAAATTTCTTTTTAAAATGCAAAACATTTATTCATCTTCATGTTTACTTTCACTGTGTCAGTCCGTTGTTGAATTTCCTTCTTCTAGGATTCAGAATTCACTGTAAAAGAGTTAATCAATGCCTTATATACAAACGTGTCGTTAATTAAACAGTGTTTTCGAACGACAACTTTTCTCCTGCATACCGATAACGATGATGATGCTGAGAAGGAGGGTGTCACCCACTATACATTCAATCATCAGTCACATATTTATCCAACAAACTTATTTCTTCTGCGAGATAGACAACAATCTCTACTGATCACAATTTCTTCGAATCGACATACTACTAACTCGTGGACAATATATTCACCTTTCAATAATGTCAAAGAAGAATATCATAACTACTGGTTGCCTAAATTTGTTATTCATCAAACTCCTTTATTAATCAGTCTACCAGTTAGTTCAATGCAGACAACAAATTCAGCTGTACGTTGGTTAATCTGTCTACGTGTTAAAATGTTGTTGAAGTCAACTACTTCCACTGATCCTCTTATCCTTTCATTGCATCCACATATTCGTGGTTCATGTACACCTGTCTGTTGGCTGTCACCAAAGATTGTCATTAATCCTAAACGGTTATGCCAGGCGAAAAGAATATTGCTTAATTTATTCGCTTATACTTCAAATGATATCTTCTTCAGTGCCCTACTCATCGAACTGCTGGTGGTGATGATGGTGGGGACTATAATCGTGTAACTACTACTAATAGAGGTGGTAATATCAGTAGTATTTGTCATATTAGTGGTAATATGACTATCTATTTATGTGTACACTTGACTTGCGGTTCAAATTCCTGCATCCTACACGTTTACAATCCACTGAATTTATCCTTCAACAATCTTATTCATAATTATTATGATTTTGAGAATTATTTTTTTTCACTTGATGAAAGCCTGAAAACAACCTCACCCAGTTCTTTCCCCTTATGTATATATCCATTTTGTAAACAATGGAGTGTAACCAAGTGTGCCGTTGTCACTACTACTAAGAATGAGGATAATAGTAGTATTGGTAGTGGTGGTCAAGGTCAGACGATCATTCCACCAATCACTGGTCAAGAATTGGTCAGAAATAGTTTAGAGAAAAAATTAAATGAATTCTGTGCATGGAGTGTGCATCCATTGAAGAAAGGCGTGTTGTACTTCATTAAAAATGGTATTTTCCGTGGATTATGCTTATCAGTAAGTGAGAGCTGTGCGTCTACTAATAATCCCTTGATACTACTTGAAGTTCGATCGAGGTGAGTAGAGATTTATTCTTGTTATTTTGATAAGTAATCGGTCTTGTTTTTAGGTTGGTATGCATCACTAACTGACTGACATCAGTTGGAAAAAAATAGTCCAAACCTGGGAGCACTTGGCAGCTGTTCCATCCTAGTATGGGACTCCTCAGCAGTACGCACCTGGGACCTTCATGTTCCACGACCAGCAAGTTACCATTGAGCCACTGGATCGGAGTCTACTGGTCCATATTTCCAACTAATGTCAGTCCACGGTATAGCGAGACCATCACCCAATGTCATCGTTGAGTATTTGTCCTTACGTCCACGAAGTTTGCGCACCGGTCACGACTTCTCAGTGGGACTTCAAGAATCACCTATCAAAGGTAGTTACCAATGCGCATTAGATTAATTCAGTTTGGGAGTTTTTGGGGATTTATTGATTTCAAGTTGGTATTCATCATCGACAACCTCGCATCAACAACAAGCACCAATCACCTTCAACGGGAGAAACCTAAAGGAAGTAGTCTCTTTCACCTACCTAGGCAGCATCGCTTCAACTATAGGCGCCGGCACAGACGAGGATTTCAAAACCAGGAAGGGCTTTCACTAATCTGTAATCAGTGTGGAGATCTACTGCACTATACTCAGCATAAAGCGTGAACAAGATCCGGATTTTCAACACAAATTCGACCAAGCCAGTGCTGCTATATGGTTCAGAAACTTGGCGTGCCACGAAAAGCATTTCCAAAAAACTACAGATTTTCATCAACACCTGCCTACGCTCGTTACTGAAGATCAGATGGCCAGAGAGCATGAGCAACAAGCAACTCTGGCTGGCAACGAACCAATCAAGAACCTATCGCCAACAAATATTCACAAGAAAGTGGAGATAGATTAGATTGGGCATACACTGATAAGACCGATTGGGGACATCACGCACCAGGCTGTCGAGTGTAATCCAAATGGGAAACGACGAGTTGGGCATCCGAGGGTGACATGAAGGAGATCATGTGAGGAAGAAATGAAAGCTTGTGGGCAGTCGTGATGCCAGGTTGAAAAGAGTGCAGAGAAGAGAGTGCAATGCAGGCGCGGTACTGAAGCCCTATGTTCCACCAAAAACCCTACTCCGCTAGTTACTACCCGGTCCTAAGCCCGGACAAAGAGGGAAGGTTGGGCATAGGACTAGCAACCCTACCCCGGAAAACCAATCTAACCGCTAAAGAAACTTCAAAGCACAAGGAAAATACGAAACATAAAATAAAACTTATTATTCGCTGGAATCGGAGAGATGTGATGACGTCAGTTGGTGAAAGCCTTCGGGAAGCCAATTGGCCAATGTGTCTTCGCTTCTCTCGATGAAAACCAAAGTGACAATGGGGACATGGAATGTCCGCACGATGTTTGAAGCTGGCTGGCAAGGCTGCCCAGACTGCAAAAGAGATGGGGAGATGTGTCATAGAAGTGGTAGGAATCTACGAGGAATCTGCAGATGGAATGGGAGTGGACTCTCCAGACTGTCAATTGGAAAGTCAATAATCTACTCCGATATTGTCACCCAGACGACAACCACGGGCACACTGAGTTATGGAGTGGCTATCATGATGTCCCCTTCAAGATCATCGAAGGCTCTCTCTCTCTCATGGAGTGGGGACCAATCTCCTCCAGCATCAGGTTCGTGACCACAAGATTCAAATGAAAAGGAGGGAAAGATCCAATCATTCAGTGCTACGCACCTACAAATAATGCAGATGAAGAGAAGAAGGAGGAATTCTACAGACAACTGGACAAGACCGAAACCTAGATGGTGACATCAAAATTCTAATGGGTGAGGTGATATGAATGCCTAACTGGGGGCAGACAACACGGGAAGAGAACTAATCATGAGTCGAGAGGCACTCGGTGAAATGATGAATGAGAATGGAGAACTGTTTGCAGACTTCTGTGCATTTAGTGATTTAGTGTGAATGGAGTCAGGCAGTGTGTACAAACACAAGGATGTTCGCGAGGCAGCGACATGGATTTGACCTCACCGGATGGACACACTACACTAAAATCAGATCGACTTCATTTCAATGTGAAGAAAGTGGAGACGCAGCCTACTGGACACAAGATCAGATGGAGAAGGGGAGCATGTATAGGTTCACACCACTCACTGTCTAGTGCAAGGAGCCTTGAAAACCAAGTTGAAAGTCTTCAAAGAAGTTGGTGATAGACCACAGTTGAAGTTGAACACCTAGAACATAAACTGGACTGAGGTACGAAACTACGAAGGAGATCTTCATGTCAGTCAGTCAGTCATGAGGACAAAATGAGAGATATTGAACAGGATCCGTGAAGAAACCTGTATGGAAGAACACTGGAACTGTATGAAAGCGACGTTTGAGTGAACCTGCATGACCGTGTTAGGAAGGAGAAAGGAGAGGGAAGACAAGGAATGGATCTCCACGGATACATGGAAGCTGGTAGAGGAGGGAGAGGAAGATGGTGAATCAGAAGATGAACTAGTGGAGTGGATTGCAGTGCAAAGATGAACAACAGAAAGAGGAACTGAGTACAACCTATAAAACACTAGACTGGGCAGAGAAGTGAAGGAGAGAGTGCACTCGAAGACAAGAGACACTTCTACGACACACTTGCAAGTGGGGCAGAACAAGCTGCAGGTGGGAGAGATAGAGACCTGACGAAGTTATGTCAAATAACCAGGTTACTATCTTGGGGAGGGGGGGGGAAGAGATGGACACAGATGAAAGCAATGGGAGATAGTGAAGGAAACCTAGTTACGGAAGAGGAGAAACGGGGGAAACGATGGTCTGACCACCTCAGAAAGCTCCTGAATTGGCCAGCGCCACCTGCAAGTCGTCCAGAAATACCACCAGCAGCCAGCCACAGAAGTATCAGTGAGAGGAGAAGTGAATTCCTGAAAGCCGTAAAGTTTCTGAAATCCAGGAAAGCATCATGACCAGTTGGGAATTCCTCCAGGAGCACTGAAAACGGACTCAGAGACGACAGCATCGGACATGCTGACACCACTACTGCAGAAGGTTTGGAAGGAAGGAGGGAAGGAAAGGTACCTGTAGAAGGTCTACCTTGTCGAGCTGCCGAGGATGGGTGACCTGAGTCTTTGCGAGAACTGGTGAGGAATCATGCTCCTGTCCCTGTCCACCGCAAGCAAGATATCATGCCGCATCATGCTGTAGAGATTGAAAAGTGCTCTGGATTCAAAATGATGACTGAAAGAGGTTGGCTGGCTTCAGGAAAACAAATCATGTGTGGATCAACTTGCAACGCTGCACTTTGCATCATCATAGAACAGAGCATATAATTGCAGTCAACTCTTTACCTCAACTTTACCGACCTTGAAAAGGCCTTCGACAGCGTCGACAGATAAGTAATTTGGCAGATGCCTCAACACTACGGTTTTGGTACCTCAAACCTGTATCAGCCTCATTCAACAGCTAGCTACATGACTACGCCGCATGCCAAGTGATTCACAATGGAAAGCTCAGTGATGCCTTTGAAGTGAAGGTAGGGGACAGGAGTAAGACAAGGTTACCGCCAACTATCGTTACCAATGACCTCCGTGATTGTGGTCGACTGGACGGGACTCGGTTAGATCATGCAACAGACTGTGAGGAGTGAGAAGATGGGCATACTCTGGTTGACCGATGGAAACACCTCAGGAGAAGATTTGGATTTTGTCGATGATGATTTATGCCTAATGTGTTGTCACACAAACTCGAAGACCTACAGGCGAAGACCAACAAGTTGACAGAAGAGACAGTGAAGGTGGGACTTCGGGTGAACGTAGAGAAGGCGGAGATGATGAAGATACCCAGTCAACAGGAAGAAGAAGCACCAATCACGATGAACGGGAGAAGTCCAAAGGAAGTAGTCTCTTTCACCTGCCTACCTACCTACCTACCTACCTACCTACCTACCTACCTACCTACCTACCTACCTACCTACCTACCTACCTACCTACCTACCTACCTACCTACCTACCTACCTACCTAAGCAACACCGTTTCAACTACAGGTGGCGGGATAGATGAAGATGTCAAAGCCAGGATGGGAAAGACGGCAAGACAGGCCTTGACTGACATGAAATCGATGTGGAGACTACTGCACTATACTCAGCATAGAGTGTGAATAAGATGCGGATTTTCAAGACTAATATCAATCAAGTAGGTCAGTTCTTTTATGTGATGATGGTTGAGAGACTCAGTGCATCACGAAAAGTATTCCCAACAAACCACAGGCATATATGAACAGCTGCCACCTACGCTCACTCAATGGTGACACTGAAGATCAGATCACCAGAACGATGGGAATAATCAACAAGGAAATCTGGCTGGCAACGAACCAACCAAGAACCTGTCCCCCAACAGATATACAGAAAAAAGTGGAGATGGATTGGATTGGGCCTACATTGATAAGACCGATTGGTGACATCACGCGGCAGGTCAGGCCCTCGATTGGAAGCGAAATGGGAAACGACGAGTTTGGCATGCGAGGGTGACATGGAGGAGATGGTGTGAGGAAGAAATGAATGCTTGTGGGCAGTATTGGTGCTAGAGAACAAAGTGAAATGTGGGGTGTTACTGTGGCCCTGTATTCTACTAAGAAGCCATGGGACAATAATAATGATGTCATCACCGACTCACATGAGTTAGAGAAGCAAGGAAAACATAGGAACATGCTGGATAGTTACTTTTTCGTCCTGCTAGTATGGGGCTTTTTGGCAGTGTGCACCTATAACTTTGCCAGGAATCCAACCCGGGACCTCCACTTTCGTGAACTAACAGAAGTAGATATGGAGTGTTGGATTTCTACCTATTGGCTCAAAGGTGACATCCGTGCCGCAGAACATGAACATCCTGGGTTCGATCCCTAGCGGAAGGGTGGTGGGTGCTTGCCACTCTGGAGTCCCATAATAATGGGACAAAACAGCTGTCCAGGGCTGCCGTGTTTGCAGTGGTTCTTCAACTGATGTCAGTCATTCAGTGTTTGATGAATCGTCCCAAACCTTCAAGGTGAATTACTCGTGCGTGTGTGTGTGTGTGTGGAACTTGCCGGTAATTGTTTGCTTGAAACTGGATTAACCGGTCTCTCTGTCTGTCTGTCTGTCTCTCTGATGACATATTATCTCCTATTTGGAGATTCCTTGATATACCCTCAAGGTTGATTCTGATGTCACTTGGTTGACAGTGGTTCTATCAGCGTTTTTCGTCCTACCCGGGACTGACTCATCGCCTGGATGGAACCTGCAGCCTAGGAAGTGATAGCGTTGGGTTCCAGTATGAGTGGGAAGACTCTATATCCTGTTAAGCCACAGGTATGCTCGGCTGACAAGTCCTAAAGAGGGTTAAGATGCACAGACCGGATCCCACTGCTAACCACCAGAGAGCAAATGACTTTAGAGGTTTGTTTTGTATTCATCTTACTGCTTTATTTCGAATTGGTCTCTGTTTTGTTCACATGATATTACAAATCTAGTCTTCTACGGCCATATTTGGTTTAAGAGTAGGAAATAAATTGGCTGAATATGTTCATTTGTGTTTAGCCTCTCTTTGGATCATGTGTCAGTCGTTGTAGGCTGGGTATGTAGTGTGAAATATTGACTGATCCCAACAACTGGCAAGACAACCAATCGCATTTTTTTATTTTACCGTAAACTACCAGCCAAAACACTGGAACCTGATTGATTATTTTTCAACAGTTGCTGGGGTGGCCTTTAAGGTCATTCAGATATTGGGTGACTAGATTAAGTTTAAACGCCACTCTAATTACTACTGAGATAACCAGTTACGATCTTTTATTTGTAGAATAAGCCGCCCTCTCAGCCGAAATACTGAGACCTGAATGGTTGTTTCAGCAGTTGCGGGATGGCCCTGAAAGTAACTCAGTGACTGCAAAGGCAACTCTGATAACCACTAAAGTGGTTACTAATCAGGTTTCTTCATTTCATGAAAGAGCTAACTTTCGGGTCAAAATAACGAAACCTGGATAGTTGGATGACTTCAAAGGTCACCCTGGCAACTGCTGAAATAATCAATCAGGTTTCATTATTTCGGCTGAGGGGGGTAATTATTCCTAAAATACATCAACGTAATTGGTCATGTTATCAGCTGTTAGAATGGTCTTTAAAGTCACTTATCTTAAGCCTGTAGAGAAAGCTCAGGATGAAGGTCAGTGGTTGGTAGAACCTAAATCGTGCATCGATCATACATACCTCAGCATAAAACCACTCCCATAATATGTCAAGGTAGTATGCATGAAGCACCATTGAAAACCAGGTGGCACTAAGTGGCTGTTTCGTCAACCCCGCGTACCCACTTTCCAGTTAGGGGTCGAACCCGGCGCCGTCAGGTCGCGAAAAGCAAGTTGCCATTCACCCACTGGGTCTGAGTTCAGTAGGAACACAGTTAGCGTTCGTATTTATGGCAGCCGACAATATAAAGTATACATGCCATACTGGGTCGAATCGCCCAACCTCTGTTGGCAGATGCACTTCTAAGGCGGATAAATGCCCCGATGCTGCCCAGATATTCGTCGTATTGTAGTCTACTTGGTGACTGACAGTGGAACCCAGGAAATAAGCGTTTCGTCCTATCTATGGCTCGTCAGCTGGATGTATCTGCGCCCCGGTAAGTGGTCTTGTTCTCACTGAGACCTGTTGCTTCAAATTATAAAAAGTAGTAGAATTCAACCCATTATAGGAACTGGAAATTACGAGTGCCAATAAGAAATTACTGATACCTGTTGCACAAGAGGTGGCCCTCGTGCTCCAGTGGCCTAGTAGATAACGAACGCTTTGGTGTCTGAAGCAATGAGTGTTGTTGAGTTTGAGTCAGTGGGAACAACACTCTTCACTCACTAGATGGTGCAGGTACGTCCACCTGACAAGTGATTCTTGAGTAGGACGAAACGCGCCTCCTGTACTCCAGTGCTAGCCACCAAGTAGACTACAAAACATACGGAATTTGTTGTCTAGAAGACAAGTCACCGGATTAAATTATTGGTCCTAAGCTCAGTCCCTCGTAGGGTCATGAGTGATGGGTCACTACCGTGAGGAACGCTGAACTAACATTGAAACAGCCACCTTAGTACTGTCATGTGTTTTTTTCATTCTGCTTCAAATGAGGCTAATCTATGGTATGAAAAATACTTTCAAGTCAATAAATCCTCCTAGTTCACCCCGCCATCTCTTTTGCAAAACAATAATTGAGTTAAAAAGAGTATTTGTTCATTAGTATTCATAATCATCAGAAATGTGGCTATGGTAGCGGTCTATCCACAGTGGTTCAGCTCAGAAAGTTAAATTGTTCAACCCACTTGGACTTCGGCTAACTACTTGAACCGACTCATCATGCATACCCGGAATCAGATGAGGTGTTTACAAAAATACATAGTTTGTGGTGAGAAATATCACCTTGAAAAAACATCTTTTTGTTGGCTATAATTTATCCATAAACCGCCTCTTATCTTTTTCCAGATAGAACCTATTTCGGCTATAAAAAAAAGAGTCTACGCCTGACTTCGATGTTGTTGATCTGGCGACAGCACGACAGTCAGCCTGTGTCACGAAGATGACGGTGTTCAAATACCAGAATTCCTCTCCCTTTGACCATTTGCTTCAAACGCCGCAGTGTTATCCACACTAGGTTTTTTTTGTCTTAGTGGGAAAAACATCACTCTTCACTGGGAGGCAGCTGACGAATCATCCGGAAATGGGACGAAATACTCATGTCATGGATTCCACTGCTAGCCACACCAAATTTAAAAATTCCGGGGATATCGGGGCATCCGCACAGAAAGCAGCAGTGGCCGATCAGTTCAGTTGAATCAACAGCGGAGATGCACACCCTATCACATCTAAGAGTTGCGTGGAGTCTCTAGACGGTCTGGTTCGCTGATAGCAGTAGTCGATGCTTTGATATTCAGTAATAATTATAATAGCAGTAACTAACAGCTAACTAATAACAGCTACAGAAGAGAAGTACAAGCAACAATTAGAAAAGCGAAATGACTTTTAAAGGCTGCCACCGTAGCAAACTACTGAAATAACCAATGAGGTTTCTCAATTTAATCAGCAAAAAGCACCCGAAATACGCAGAACTAATTGTGGTGAACCTCATTTGTAACTGTGATGAAGATACCCAACTAACACCAACAGCAACAACAAGCTCCAATCACCGTCAACGGGAAAACTTAAAGGAAGTAACCTCCTTCACCTATGTAGGCAGCACTGTTTCAACTACAGGGGGGACAGACGAGGATTTCAAAGTCAGCCAGGGTCGGAAAAGCAAGACAGGTGTTCATTAGCCTGAAACCAGTGTGGAGATCTTCTGCACTCAGCATGTGGAACAAGATCCGGATTTTCAACACCAATGTCAAGTCAATGCTTCTGTATGATGGTTGAGAGACTTGGCGCGTTACGACAAACTGCAGAAATTCATCAACAGCTGCCTACGCTCGCTACTGAAGATCAGATGGCCAGAGAGCATAAGCAACAAGCAACTATGGCTGGCAACGAACCAACCAAGAACCTATCACTCAACAAATATGCAGAAGGAAGTTGAGATGGATTAGATTGGGCACACACTGATGATAAGACCGATTGGGTACATCACGCGCTAGGCCCTCGAGTGGAACCCAGATGGGAAGCGACGAGTTGGGTGTCCGAGGATGACATGAAGGAGATCGTGCGAGCAGGAAATGAGAGGTTGTGGGCAGTCGTGGAGTCAGGTTCAAAAGATTTCAGAGAACAGAGTGGAGTGGAGATGTGCTAGTGAAGCCCCACGTTCCTTTAGGAACCCAAGGAACAAATAATAAATGAAAAATAAATCATTCGTAACCAGGATGGCCTTTGAAATTATTCCTTAGAAAGCAGTGAGGGGGTGACAAGTCCAATTTGCCTGACTGCTAATTCTCTCACACGTCCAACCAATGAAATAACCGCAAAAAACAACAGTCAATTAGCGTAAAATAAGAATCTATGCATAAAAATATGACTTACTCGTAAGTAGTATAATAAATAACACTAAATAAATTTTACATCAGATTTCCTATGCTCATCTATTTTCTTTCAGTTCCCATGATCTTTTGGATCTATTTGATCAGTTTATCCTGTCTCAAATGTCTAGCATCAGTCAATTTCAACAACTCACCCCCTACTATAAACAGCTGGAATGTAATGAAACGAATCTACGCAAATCTATCACTCATATATTAGATTCTCTGATCACTGAAACCCAATTCCTTATCAATTCTATTACTCAGGTCATTGAACAAACTATGCACAAACGTATTCCTAAGCTGCCTGTCTTCTTAAAAGATATAACAAATAATCTAGACATTGTAAATCGTTCTGCTGAATGGCGTTCAATGGTCAATTCAGCGAGTAACCTGCCTATTGATGATGACATAACTAGTTCAGCCGTTGAATACTCTTTTCTACGTCGTCAAACTGATGCTAGCTTCGAATGCCTTTGCCTTGAACAGTTGGTCTAAAGATGTTTTCGTCGCCTGCTCATATCTGTTCTCTATGCATATGTGGGTGTGGATACCGCTATCATTCATCGTGTACATTTCTAATAATAATTTTGTAAATTATCAGAAAAAAAAACATGGAAACAAATTATCTTATTTTATTGTTAACCCGAGATAATTGTTGTTTAATCGGTCGGTTCTCCTGATATGGGGATAATGCTTGAAAATGAAATGAGAACTTGACTTTTCTGGATTACTGGTCTGACGGTTTACTTACTAACTGATCAGTGTAAATTGCTACACTGTGATGGGGGTCTGAGGGCGAAGTCGTACTGCTGCTAGCTGGATGGGGTGTGACAGCAGTAAGGTGTTTCCCTTGGATGACCAGCAGTGCCAAGCTGATGCTGCCTTCTCAGTGGAAGGGGGGGTTAGAAAAGGTCGGCCCCAAAAATAACACACTCCACCACGCCCCACGGTCTGCCGGGCCGGCGGTGTTGGTTCACTTGTCGTTTCCTTTCGCTCATCCGGCCCCAAAAATTCAAAATAATCATACTCAAAAGGCTGGGTGTGACAGGCCTCAAGCAGATGTCCGATGGGCTCTGCGGTCACACAAATCTCTTTCAGGTACCTTAAGAAGAAATAGCCTTCCACGGTGTGGGCAGCCGGGAAGTGTCAACCGCCCTCACAACTCTGTCAGCACCCAAGTTTCTTCTGACTGCTATCCTCCTCCTCCATCATTACCTTCTAATCTTCCTTCACGTCTCTTAATTAATGATGCTGCATCATCTTCAATTTCTCCTACCTCTGCAGCCTTCGACAACGATCTGAGTCCACAGAACAGCATCCCTGGTCTCCTTAAACCACGCTCCAAATTACATATTGGAGCCTTCAATGTCCGCACCCTCCGTCAAATTGGCCAACAGGCTTCGTTGGCAAAGACTCTAGCAACTCGGGCATGGATGTGTGCTGTGTTTGTGAGACACGCATACAGGACCCAAGTGTGGTTATTCACCTGACCTCTCCTGACCAATCTGGTGAATCTGCAAAATTCACCCTTCGAGTTTCTGGAGATTCGATAGCTAGCTCTCGTGGTCTTGCAGGTGTAGGTATAGCATTAAGCACCAGGGCAGAAAACTCACTACTAGACTGGATCCCAGTTGATAGTCGCCTCTGCGCTATGAGGCTGAACGGCACAGTGAGAACTAAAAGGAATAGTGAGACTCGCCGTTGTCTCTTTGTAATCTCTGCTTACGCACCCACTGACTGTAGTTCGGATGAAGTGAAGGACGAGTTCTACCATAAACTGTCTAACCTCCTCTCGAAAGCCAAACGTTCGGACGTAGTGGTTGTTGCAGGTGACCTCAACGCACAGGTGGGTAGACTGAGTGAGGCAGAAAGGCACTTAGGTGGCACTTTCGGAATCCCAGCTGAACGTACAGATAACGGTGATCGCCTATTACAACTATGCTCAGATAACCGCCTATTTTTAGCCAGCACAAATTTCAGACATAAAGAAAGGCACTGTCTGACCTGGCGTCCACCGAGCTCGACTCAGCGATGGACACAGATAGACCACATTGCTATTAGTCATCGCTGGAGAGGATCGGTGGAAGACTGCCGCTCCTTCTGGAGTACGTGTTTGGACAGCGATCATGCGTTGGTCCGAGCACGTATATGCCTGCGTCTCAATGGACGTAGAAAAAATTTGGCAACAAAACCACTACGAGTTCTGCTGGACAACGAAAACACCAAAGCCGTGTTCAGTGAGAAGTTGGCTAGGCAGTTATCGGAACAAAAGACTGTCACTCATCCAGAAGAAGCTTGGTGCCATCTTCAGTCTACTGTAAAAGCAGCACTGGAGACTGTAGCCGACTCCAAGATAATGGCTAAAAAGAGCCAGTGGATATCAGCAGCTTCTTCCAAACTAATGGATGCACGTGAATGCATCCCTGCAGGCTCTGAGTACAATGAAGAGCGAGCGCAACTTAAAAATAAACTGACGAAAAGTCTGCGCAACGATCGTGAACAGTGGTGGGCAGCAAAGGCTAAAGAGATGGAAAAGGCAGCGGCGATCGGTAACAGTAGACAGTTATTTAGACTTATTAAGGAGACTGGGGGGAAATGGTCAACAACAGTTAGTGAGGTTATAGCGGAGAAGGACGGATCGGCGATTCACTCGCAGGGAAGGCGACTGGGACGATGGGCAGAACACTTTGAGGAACAGTTTAACTGGCCTCCAGCCACCATTGCGCTGCCCGCTATCCAGTCGGACCCTGAATGGGACATAGAGACAGGTCCCCCAACACTAGAAGAAGTTGAGAAAGCGGTAGGTAGCCTGAAACGGGGAAGGGCAGCAGGACCAGACGGACTACCTGCTGAGGTATACAAGAATGGTGGTAGAGTTCTCTTAGTCAGGCTAACGGAAGTGTTAGCCAGTATATGGGAATCAAATACGATCCCCTCCGACTGGTCTAAGTCACTGATCATCCCAGTCTTCAAGAAAGGCGAGAAGTCCTCTTGTGATAACCACAGAGGAATCAGCCTGACAAACATAGTGTCTAAGATCCTAAGTTCTATAATTCTCCGACGCCTGAGTGGAGCTCGGGAACAGCAAGCCCGAGAAAACCAGGCAGGCTTTAGACCTGGCCGTGGATGTATCGACCAAATATTCACACTGCGCCAGGTCCTGGAACATAGGCATGCTTACAGACGCCCGACAATAGCTGTATTTCTCGACCTGAAGGCGGCATTTGACTCCGTTGATCGAGAAGTCTTATGGCAGTGTCTGTCACTGAAAGGCGTGCCTAGTAAGTACATCACCTTATTGAAAGCTCTCTACTCGAACACTTGTGGGCATGTTAGAGCCTATGGTGAGTTGTCCAGGGAGCTATACTCATCAAGTGGTGTCCGTCAAGGATGCCCACTATCCCCATTCTTATTTAATTTTATCATAGATATTCTTATGGAGGTTTCCCTCTCGTCACCTAATTACAAAGACGTTGACCGGATCACAGGTGAATTTTCCTTAGATCTAGAATATGCAGATGACATAGTCCTGTTAGGTGAAGACGCTGACAAGATGCAGAGTCTTCTGAACACTTTGAGTGGGAATTTGAGAATGTTTGGGATGCGATTTTCACCACCCAAATGCAAATTTTTGCTCCAGGACTGGTCTTCAGCGGTACCGCGGTTAACAATAGAGAGTGAAGTGGTTGAGTGTGTTGACCACTTCACTTACCTGGGAAGTAGGATCAACTCCGGTGGGTTAGTTGCCGATGAGATTTCTGCACGGATACAAAAGGCTCGATTGGCTTTTGCCAATTTGCGCCACCTATGGCGCCGCCGTGATATTCGTTTGTCTATTAAGGGTCGCGTGTACTGCACAGCAGTCCGCTCTGTTCTACTGTATGGCTGTGAAACATGGCCATTGAAAGTGGAAGATACAAAAAGGTTTCAGGTGTTTGACCACCGTTGCCTTCGTAGTATAGGACGTATTCCGTGGTGTCACCATGTGAGTAATGCAGAAGTTAGGTGTAGAGTTTTAGGGAGAAGAGGTAAGTCAGTCGACGAGGTTGTGAACCTTCATCGACTGAGATGGTTGGGACACGTACTACGTATGCCTAGTCACCGATTGCCTCGTCACACAATGTTGGCTGAGGTGGGTTCAGGCTGGAAAAAGGCCCGAGGTGGCCAGACTAAAACATGGCACCAATGTATGAAGTCTCTGACTGTTGGTTTAAGCCATGTAGGACGATGCAGACTAGGTGGTTGGGGTCCACGGGACAAGAGGAACCAGTGGTTGGAGACCCTAGGTGATATGGCTCAGAACCGAAGTCAGTGGCGCAGATGTATACACACATTATCCTCATCTTAACAACGCTATACCGAATCTCACTATTTTGTCACTCCTCTTTCCTTTCTTCTCGTACTTTATATTTCTTTTGACTGCATTCACTTATCTTCATCCTTCACCTCACTACCTTTTTACTTGATGTGCTGATATGAGGTGTGGCAACTCGGACCGTTACGCAGTAATGCCTGGTCCTATGTTGATTATGATGATGATGATGAATTACAGTTACCGAGGGATTTCGCCCAGTTGCCATGTGACTGCATGGTACTTCACTTTCTGTGCACTGTGTCAGAATCCGAAACAATAACCTTATCTGGATTATCGGTTGCCATTATGAGCTAAGCTATGAGACTAGGTTTGAGATGATCAATTGACTCCATCCTCTGTGCTTATTTACACCATATATGCACTTTACTACTATGAGGTGGAACATCTTATTTACCAAATTACAAATTGTATTTGAGCTGGTTTCACACTTTTCATGATATCAGTGAGACTTCATCAGTTGTTTAAAATGATACTTTCTTTAGTACTGTTCAGAAATAGCGCACATAGGTTTATATTTTTGACTATGACTAAAACGTACTGTTGTATCAGAACGAATGTCTGTGTGGCGAATGGTTCCAGCTAAGGTTGTGACTGACTAAGAGAATGGAAGTAGAACTTGGTACACAGGTGCATCGGCTCAATTTGCCACACTTGACGCACAATAGTACACAAAGAACAGGTGGATAGGATAGGAGAAGAGTGATATGGAAGTAGATAAAGTAGTGTACGTGTGTGTGAGAGAGAAAGAGAGACTAAGCGATGTGAAGGTTAGTGTAAATATGCCAAACATTAGAAGATGTGAAGGGGTGACTGGGCGATCGTGATGGATTTTCAGGCATATCACCAATAGTCGTCAAGCACTGACTGATTGATTGATTGATCGATCTATCGTTTGGAGGACCTGAAGCAGGTAGTGTTAAATTTCCGATACGGGTGAGGCAGACGAACAGTTAGAGATTTGATCTACTGGTGCGATGTGTTGGTGTGGCCGCGGTGATGAAGCGTCTTCCAACGTAATCCAACTTCCCCTAGGTAGGATAGTGAGTGGTAGGTGGAGGGAAGGAGGGGTGGCTCGGCATGTCCACCAGTATGTGTGGAAGCCATTTCAGTGGATGATGGT